TCCCTGCATTCCAGCGTACCTGGTTGAGTCTTGAACGTCTTAAACGTGTGGCCCTTGAGCATCATTTGGTAAATGGAGTAAAGGTCACCGATGGTTCCACACTGCTGGCTGGCAAAGCTATGCAATAGATGAGTATTTAGAAACAGCACGATGTAGAATGGACTCCGTTGACCAGCCATTTTCAGTATTTCAGTTTCGTGATATCTGAATAAACAAGAAAAACATTTTATTGACACATACATGTATTGAGAATGCGGAGGAAGTTTTGCAAGGCCTAAAAACGCAGGCCTGAGGAATTTCCCCATCTAGAAACCCACATCAGAAACCCAATCCTCGCTTAGTAAGAGATATCAAGTCTTGCACAAATTTCAGAGATGAAATCTTTCAAAGCGAAATTCAAGGAAAGCACAATTAGGAGGCTTGAGAATCCGGCCAGTAACTGTTACATCTTCCGTCAGCTTTTCTACAGTACTAAAGTTAAATTTGCATCTTTGCATTTAATATAGATTATATATTTGAACCGGAAGGGTTTCAAGGTATGGAGCACAAAAGCATACAAGAGTGCATGACATTCTACAGCAACAGACCTCTGTCCTTTGGAAAAAAATATCTGAAAAAAACTATTGGTCCTTCCTGACCTGGTCTTTGTTGAAAGAAAATTCAGCTCGACAGTGCTCGATAACAGTTTTGCAATGTGTCAGCTAAAACCTATGTGTACTGCAATGTGTACTTTGTAACATCGGTATCACGACATATTCAACATTCAGCAAGGCAAGATATTAACTATTAGCTTGGATATTTTCCATCTCATATCCTAAAGAATAATTTTTAATTAACTATGAAGGTGTACGTTGAGCGCAAGTTGGACCGGTAAAGTTATTCTCGATAACAAAAATTTAAAGATTCGAAAAAAACACCAAACTTTAACCAGAAGTTGTAAAAAATTTACACCTACCTGGTCTAGTGTAGCATTTGTTGAAATATGTTTAACTAACTCCTAGTACAATTCTCTCGAGGTGTCAATCCCTTTATGCGGCTAGATGCACCTACACAACATACAACTGATCCGATGAAATGATAACGGCGGCCACCGAATTTCATATGTCAACAGGATGGGCTATGGGCATGCTATCTGCCATTAAAGCTATTTTTACAGGCGTCGTCTATCATCAAAAGAATGATGTGCTAATTGCGACCATTATATTACTTGAATAGTGTTTTTTTGACTTTGATGAAAATTTTATGAACACGTGGATTCAATTCAAGTTTGCATCATGCCTATTTAAATAATGAGACAGGAAGACGTATACAATCTCAGTATTAGGAGCTCATTGGAAACCTTGCTTAATCAGAAAACTCGAGATAATTATCTTAAAAAAAAGACAGATATGTTATTGTCTGTTTTTATTTCGTTACAACGTAAAGCCCTCTGCAATACGTTTGTGAACGCTCCTTGATTTAAAATTGTAACTATGTTTTTCTTTTCCAGCTGTCATCATTTACTTTCATTGTGTTCTAGGTGCAACGAATTTTCTAAGTCTTGAATAAATTCTTATTTGTTGTTTGCTTTTATCCTCGCCCGCACAGGAGGGTGTAAGCTTGAGTCAACTAGATGGGGAGGGGGGAGGGGAAGGGAGGATGATGAATTCGCCTCATTGCAAGTTTATTCCCAATCGTCCATGCAAGTTCGCCTTCTAAAGTAAATCGATTTATTCGCCACCTCTACCAGTTCGCCCTCAAATTATTCAACTCGTTCTTTATTTCTTTAGTTGTGAGCGTCTAAGTCGATAAACACTTATTGTCTGACAAAAGTGTCTTTCTGCATTGCCGTTGCAGTTTTTGGGTCAGTGCGAAGTCCGAAGGTGAACCGAGATTACTAAAAGCACAAAATTGTGTCAAACTCGTTTGATAAAGGCTGGAGTTATGTACCAACTTTGAATTACCCGTGTATCAGACGTCCATTTTTAACACGGCTATGAACATGCTTGTTGATCGAACCTCGTTACGGTTTCGCTGTGAAAATTGCATGTTGGTCGCAAAAACGTTATAATTTGTATAGGAAATGAATACGTTCCGGTGGCTGGGAAACGAGTGGAAAGATTTGGATGGGGATTGGTAACTGAAGTTAAAGGTAAACTTGTTTTTTTACGTTAAACCAGAAATCCAACGAATTTTCCTGAGAAGCTGTAAACTCAACGGTGTATAAAAAAAAAATACAACAAACAGTGAGGGGGTAATGTGGCAGAAACAGCTATTCATCTTATTTTACGGCATAACTTAGACACAACGCACGCTCTGATTGGTCAAAAATTTATTGTTTGTTATCCCGGTAAACCCATTTAAAGCTGAAACATTTTCCTGTTTTGGGAAATGGCGCCACAAGAGTTCTAAGTTTTAATTTATTGAAGGCCGTTGGTTTAGGGGAGAAGAAGTGGGCGCTTTGAAATACAATTTAGCTGCACATCGCAGAGATCATGGGTTCAGATCCCGTACAGGCCTAAATTTTTTCCAGGCCTTATTTTCACTACCGGCTTAAGTAGTGTTCATTACAATGAGGTTCGTTCTGATATTCATTTAACTTTAATGCCGTCAAAACACAAAAAATTACCGTCCTTCAGCAACACTTTCATCGCATCAAGATATGCGTGTATTGGTCACATATGATAGGGAAGAACCCCCCACTAATTTCCTAAACTAAATCACGGATGACATGATTGGCCATGATGGCAAACATTTCATTTTGAATATTTTGTGAAGTATATCTGTTTTCTTTCCCTCCAAAGTACTTAAAAGTGAACAGCTGGTCTGATTCGTCATCAGTATCCCCTTGCGTGAAAAGCGTTGCCGGGCAAGATATTGCAAGCACTCTATGACTTTGATGTTAACAGTTAGAACTCCATTGTCTTTTTTGGTACATCACTCGACATTTCCGATACATTTCCGATACATTTCCACGTATTTTAGTAAATTTTGCTTGTAAGTTAATGGAATTTAGATAATTGAAAGACATAAAAAAAAATAAGCCTTTACGGTATCCAGTTGATCCGTACCCACCTTTATTTCAGACATGTACAGTCGATCCGAACCCGGTTTCAGACGAACCTGCAACCATTTTGAAAAGGTTCCCCAACAGCTGGCCGATTCGTACCACCCAATAAACATTCATTTGAAATATCTCGGTTGTTGTGCACGGCAAGTTAATAGAGTGAAGCGAGTAAGATACAAGCTAAATTTTGTTGTGTGATTTTCTTAACAATACTTGTTGTTGATGTTCTTTGGTCTATGATGACCATGAAGAAAACTCTTAGTTGTGTGCTCTTTTGGAGTAGAGCCACCTGAGACTAAACGTGCTGATACATGAATGGCAATCTTTGTTGTGCAAGTCGCACTTAGGGATCATTTCTGCATTGGAGTGCAGCGTTCTTTCCTGATTTGAATGTCTCCTTACACTGACTAATTTATATCATATTCTGGATTTCAAAGAACTTTAGTTAGTCAGCTCTCGCGGGACATGCGGCCCGCCTAGGGATTTTTTTCTTGTTATCGACACGGCACTTAACTCTTTTCATGGGATAGCTGAAAACATCCTCGAGTGAAATGCCACCATAGTTGAGATAAAAGGAAGGCAAGTTCCTGTTCATAACACGTCCTTTATTCATAATATCACCAAATAAAGTCTTTATAAGTACACAGGTAACGCATTTCCATCATAATGAACCAATTTACAAGTTTAAGCCTATATTCAAACTTTGTGACAATCATTTGAAAATTCGTGCTTCGTTTAACTTTCTATTTATAACAAGTCCGTTATTCATAATGTTAGAAAATGCAGTAGTACAAAGGATCATACATAACCAATTGATAAGTTAAAGCCCATTACCAAACTTTGTGAACATTATTTGAAAATTCATGCTTTATTACTGTAAATAAGGAAACTCATTCAGATTAAGTTTAAACTTTTGTATCAACCTCGTTATCAACCTAGTTTCGATTTCATTCACATTTTTTTCTTAGATTCAGTTGATGCTTTTCTTCACTCAACGTCTCCCCGTCTTCATTTCTCTAACGCCCTAAAAAGGAAAAGTTTAGGTTAAACTTTTTTTTATTAAGTAGGCAAAGGTAAGAATAAAAAGAAAGGTAATAGTTTTTGTTAAGAGAGGTAATCGTTTTCGTTGTATTGTTACTTTATTGCGTAAACCCAGCTAACTTTGTATGCAGGATCGTCTTCTGACTCAAAAAACCTCAAATCAAATGAGAAGAAACAAGTGTGGCCCAAAACCACTGAACAACAAAAGAGTTGGTATCACATATCGCTCTCGAGGGAAGGAAATCAAGATAAACAGCTTTGCCATCAAAACGGTGGTAGGCTTCCAAGTCCACAACTAAGGGATACTTTCTTGTATCCCCACAGACTAAATCAAACGACAACAAAATCAACGGACATAATTATTCATTAGGGGCCTGATATCTGATAGGAAAGCGAACTTGTCATGCTTTCAATTGTTCACTGTAATTGGACATTCAGATCAACATGAATGGACGGAACACATCACTTTTGCGCGTGCTCTAATCTAAAGAACTGAGTTTATATTCAAGTAGGAAAAAATTTACTTGAAACAGGCACTTTCTATCTAATGGAATGACTGCGAAGCAATTATAGACCGAATTCGACTCCACCCCGTCCAATTACCGTAATGTTGTTCATTATATGTAGATAGGCTTGTAAGCCTCTTCCCCGTTCAACCGGACTATATCTAAAACGTCACGTCCACCTGCACTTTTGTCTTTAAGAATTGTGGTCTCCTTAGATCAACTATTACAGATTTGTATCCTCCGCACAACGAATTTGTCTATGAGGTAACTGATCATTACATGTTTCTGAAAGTGAAAAAATTGTTTTAGATATATTTTTGAGAAAAAATGAAATGTTTCTGAAACCTTTAAAGAGATGGTTCAACAGTTCTTCTGTTGTCTTAAGATTTAAATCAACTTAAAGTAAAAAAGTTGAATTTAAAATATTCCGAGGAAATTGAGTGATATAGCTGTTGTAGTTCAATTTTATCCTTGGTTCAAATTTAATTTCCTTTGTTTCAAACTCATTATTA